TTCCAGGTGTCAGCCTGGCTCAGTTGGTAACTTCCTCACATCTGAGTCAGAAGGTCATGCGTTTAAAGCCACGCACTGGGATTCGGAGCTCACCCGGCCCAGGCTGACACTCCTATTGTACTTGGGGAGCGCTGCATTCTCAGGCGCCCGTCCTTCGGATGAAAAGTTAAGATGAGGTCAGTCTGTTTGTCAGAGTGGAGTCCTGTAGCTCAGTGGTTAGAGCACTCGACTCGCAAGTGAGAGACCTGGATTAGATTCCCAGACAGGATGAAACGTTGGGCAAGTTTCCTTACGCCTCTGTTTATCAGCAGTAAGTAGAAATCCAGTTGTTGAAGTTGATTGGTGGGGTAATAATTTCTTCAAAAAAAAATTTGGTCACTCATTCCATGACAGTGCGCAATTGGCTGCAGTGTTTCGCTCACAAAATATACAGTCAATTATTGTACAGTCTATTCTCTGAAGCGCTTTGAGACATCTTGAAGACACGCTAAGGCGCGGAGTCCTGTAGCTCAGTGGTTAGAGCACTCGCTTTGCAAGTGAGAGACCTGAGTTCAATTCCAGGCAGAGGGCGAAACCTTGGGCAAGTTTCCTTACTCCACACAGAGCCTAATAATAATCCCTCCAAAACCCAAAACAATAATAAATTGGTCATTTTCAATCTACGACTGTTTGTGGGACATTGCTGTGCGCAATTGGCTGCCGCGTTCGCCCACAAATATACAGTCAATTCACTTTACAGTGTGTTCTGTGAAGCGCTTTGGGACGTCCTCCCGACGTGAAAAGTGCTATATCAAATGCAAGGATTATTATTATTTTATATCATATGCAAGGATTATTAAAGATTTTTTACCTGCGAAACATACAGTGGCCTTCAAACAGGGTAACGTTTCTACTACAGAAGGTATAGGCGAGGGGGCGCTCAGTGGGAGAGAGAGGTCAAAGATGTATCTGATTTCAACCCAAAATATTACAAATGGCGTCTCCGACCTGGGCTCGGGCAAGAGAATAATTGTAATAATCATTGCGTTTGATATAGCGTCTTATCATGTTGTTGTGATGGGTGAATGTGGCAACCAATTGCGTGTCCTACAAACAGTCGTGGATTAATGACCAAATTATTATTTTTATTATTTATTTATTTTTGTGAAGTGTTGTAACCCCTGGAAAGGCGATCCCCAATCAACAACCGGGTTCCTACTTACTGCTACAACAACCACAACAACAACATTTCATTTATAGAGCGCCTTTCACGTCGGGAGGACGTCCCAAGGCGCTGGACAGTTGGGTTAGGACCCGACCAGAGGGGAAATGGTCAGGGTGAGGGAAGGGAGGGAGCGAGGAGGGGGGAAATGGTTAGGGTGAGGGGAAGGAAGGGAGGGAGCGAGGAGGGGGTAGTGAGTCGAGAGGGGAGCTGAAGGCACGGTTGAAGAAAAAGGTCTCGAGACCGACCTTGAAGGAGGAAAGGGAGGAGGCGGCGAAGGCACTGGGGGATGGAGTTCCAGAGCCTCGGGGCTGAGAGGCTGAAGGCCCGACCACCGATGGTAGGGCGGTTGGGGCGGGGGATGTGGAGCAGACCGGAGCCAGAGGAACGGAGAGTACGGGCTGGTAGGTAGGTGGATAGTAGGTCGGAGAGGTAGGAGGGAGCGAGGCCGTGAATGGCTTTGTAGATGAGGATCTTGAATTCGATCCTCTGGGGGATGGGGAGCCAGTGGAGGCGAGCGAGGGTGGGAGTGATGTGGTCCCGAAGCCTGGTGCGGGACAGTACATGAGGTGCAGAGTTCTGCTTGCTAGGTAAACAGAGGCGTGCGGAGTCAGGAAACTTGCACAATGTTTCGCCCTGCTAGGGAGTTGAACCCAGGTCCTCTTGCGTGGAGGTGAATGCTCTAACCACTGAGTCACAGGACTGGTTAATAAATAAAGGGGCTGAGAGGGAAGGCAATGGTGCTCACCCAAGCCTGTGGCTTCCACTCTTCACGCTGAGTTGGGTGGAAAGTAGCGTGAACATTCTTTGATGAGATGTATTTTTTTCCCCCAGTTTCATCCCTTGAGCTGTAAAATGTAGTAAGGGGCTGTGTGTGTGCTGCAGGAGAAATATCAAACGGAAGGTTCCAGATAACTAGAATTAATTCTTATGACGTCTAAAGAATCTGCATTCATACCACACATCGCTGGCTTCCTCCAAAACACGCTGTGTGGTCTGGAACGTGAGCCCTTCTCAAGTCAATCAGCACCTTCGCCCACTCCCATGTTCACTCTTCTTCTATTGGGGTCGATTTATCATATAATAATCCTCGCATTTGATCTAAAATGAATAAAATAATAATAATAATCTTTATTATCCAATTGACACAGTGCCTTGTCACTTCACCAAATGTCTAAAAGTGTTTCACGGTGTTAAGTACAGCGACTGTGTATTTTGTATAGCGCTTTATCACGACATTGAAACGTCTCAAAGCACTTCACAGAATGTAATGTGAAGTGGAGTGACTGTGCATTCTGTGGGCAAAATGACAGGAGTGAGTTAGCTATTCAACTGTGTGAAGCACTTTGAGATGTCCTCCAGATGTGGATTGTACAAATGTCAATCGGTGTTTTTTGATGTTAGAAGCTGATATTCTGGAAGGATGAGATCAAATTGTACCGAAGGGCACTTCTTCACATAAACTTTTCTGGTGATCTTGTAAAGAGAGCAATCAATGGTGTGGATATACTGTGCAAACGCTGTCATATTATGCGCTCGGGCAGACAGACAGACAGAGAGAGTGGTAACATCCACCCAAACAAAAACAACTTCTTTCCAGGAAGAATGAAAACACTCAATTGTCGAATGAAATGACCTGTTAAACTGTCTCTGGCAATTACTGCCCCTGACTTGCGATTGGGAGCCATCGGTCTCAAGGAGTTTGAATTTGTTAATAGTTTCTGTGACCTCTATCAGAGCTCGTCTGCCTCACATTTAATCCGCTTCATGTTATAAACGGTGATGTCCGATTCGATCTGTCTCCAGAGTCTGTAACATTTTGCTAAAACTCTAGACTTTTTATACAATACTTTCCTGCACTGTGACTTTACAACAACAACTCGTATTTACCCAACGCTCTTCACACAGGGCAGCGTCTCGGAGCGCTTAACAATGGAGGAGCCTGACCTCGTGCTGGGGGGAGGGAGGAGCTGAATGTAAGCACGGTCGAAGAGGAAGGTTTTCAGTCGTGATCTAAAAGAGAGGAAGAAGTGGGCAAGGCGGAGGAATTGATGGAGAGAGTTCCAAAGCTTTGGGGTGTAGTGGCTGAAAACACAGCCACTGCTGGTAAAGCAGAGGGGACAATGGACGTGCAGGATGCCAGAACCAGTCGAGTAGTAGGTGGTGGAATGGGGAGAAAGCAGGTCGGAGAGGTAGGGCGGTGCCAGGGCGTGAAGAGATCCGTAGACGAGTGTGAGGATCTTGAAATCGATCCGTTCAGTGATTGGGAGCCAGTGAAGCCTGGCAAGGACTAGTGGGATGGGGGTACGGAGTTTAGTGTGGTTGAGAAAAGGGGCTGAGAGGTTCTGAATCCGTGGTAGTTTGTGGATAGTGGAGCTGTGGAGCCCTGTGAGGAGGGTATCAGAGTAGTCAAAGTGTGAGGTGACGAAGGCGTGGATGAGGGTTTCAGTTGCATTGGGGGTGAGATACAATCGGAGACAGGCAATGTGACAGAGGTGCAGGAAAGTGGTCTTGGACAGGGACTGGATGTGGGGGAGGAAGGACAGCTTGATAGAGATTGTGGAGCCTCTTGTTTATAATAAATCATGATGATAATAATAATAAGGCTTGAATTTCATATATTGGCCTTTCAAGCCAGGAAGACATCTGGCTTCACCAGCTCCCCAACCCCCCGAGATCAAGTTCAAGATCCTTGTCCTCACCTTTAAAGCCCACCACTGCCTTGTACCTCTCTACTCTGTGACACCGCCAACCGCAGTTTAGGAATGAAACAGATAACGAAGATTTTAATGGGTCAGAAGTGCCCCCTGAACATATGCTCACTTGACCCGGGAGCTGTAATTACCATCGGAATCTCTTGCTCACGAGGACCTGTGCCAGTAAATGAGGCGATGGCGGAGAGAAGGGACTGACTGATACTCTGTTGCCCGGACGACCAATAATTAAATGCAGCGTCACATTCTTCCACTGTTTTAAGTGTAAAAGGTATCAAAGTGAAACTCGCGCAGTTTTGTACCTGATTCAACACTTGAATTGTCTGAATTATTAGATAGCCGTTGTCTGTTGCAGCTACACTTGCAACCGGTTTCAGTTAACCGGCCTCCCTCTCCTTCGTCTGGCATTTTTGTTTGTCCTTGAAAGGCTGATCTTCATGTTGGGAGGACTCTTTGTTGGATGTGTGATGAGCTTGTTTAGGTCACGATTGGAGATCTTTGAGAAAAAATATGCCCATGTCACTCCGTCATTCAAGACTTTTCCAATGAGGATCTCTATGTCAATTGGTTAGACAGACACACAGGCGGCTATTTTGTCATTATTAGTATCGATGTAGGGGTGTGTGACCTCTTCGCTACTTTGTTGCAGAACACCATTTTTGGGGCTTAATTAAAGCATTTTTGTAAATTTATTTTTTTAATATAGCTCATCAATGATAGGAGATCCCCAAAAGAAAATATGCCCTTGTTACTGCTATTTGCAAGACCTCTCCGATGAGGTAGAAATCATGTCTCTACGCCAATTGGTTGTTGCGTTCTTGGTAGACAGACACACAGACACTTTGTGTTTATTAGTATAGATAACAATAATAATCCTTGTATTTGATATAGCCCCTTATCATGTCTTTGGAACGTCTCAAAGCACTTCAGAATATACTCTAAAGTAGATTGACTGTATATTTTGTGGGTGAAAGATGGGAACAGAATTGTTGTAATTTTAAGAACTGTAAAAAAAACATTTCCAGATTAAGATGAACTGAGGAATTTTCCACAATTTCACCCCCATCTTAAATTTTAAGACAAGTTGGTCCCTCGGACTAAGACTGGCTGGAACTTCAGGGCTCTGATGTGTAGATGAACAACTCATATCTGGTAAGAAACAGCACAATATTTGTCTCAGTTATTATATTCATAATAATCTTTGAATTTGATATAGAGCCTTGATACATCCTCGAGACGTCTCCAAGCGCTTCACAAGAATCACTGTGAACCAGTGTGACTGTGTCCCATAAACTCACGCAAAGTGACTGACTCATTTTATCTGGGGGAATTGACCGACAAGACACAGACAGAGAGAAATCACTTTTCTTTTGCAATAGTGTCCAGTATCAGATCTGGTAACCACCTGAATAGACAGACATCAACTCCAATACAGCACTGCACCCAACACTATTCTGTAGCATCAGCCTAGTCTGTGAGCTCAAAGTCCCTCACCCTGACCATTTCACCCCAATGCTCGGGTCCTGACCCAACTGTACAGCGCCTTGGGACGTCCTCCCGACGTGAAAGGCGCTCTATAAATGGAATCTTGTTGTTCTGGTTGACCTGGGGATGGGGGTTGAACCCACAATCTTCTGACTCACGTAATTCCGGAAACTATTATGTGCAGGTTGGCAAGAGCCAAGGCTTGGAGGCCCCAGAATGTGCTGGAGTGTCCTGGAGTCTAACCAGCTAAAACCACATATTATGCCATTGAGAACTCTGTCTGGCAAGTTTACCCGCTGTTTGTCCAGCTAGGACCACCCTCTACCTGTTGGGGCTTTGGCTTACAGGGTTAACAGGAGCTGCGTGGGAGGGATGAATGAATGAATGAATTCATCCTCATTATGGGGCAGTCAGGAGAGGAGGGTCCCGAGAGAGGCTCGATCATTGGAGGCGATGAGTGGTGGTGACAGACGCCTCCCCCCAGGTGCAACACAGCATCTGGAGCAGTTAGTGAGAGCTAACCAGTGTCAACAGCTAAATTGAAACCACAATGAGTTTTGGACGCCAAGTCTCAAGACATAACTGGAAGGACTCAGAACTGATTCCTCACTGTTAATTTTACTTCATTACCTCAGACACCTCCAACACAAGCCACATCAGGGAGTCCTGTCAAAACACTCTATACGTGTCTGGTCCACATCTTTTTCTCTCCTTGTAGTTCTTTTATTCCCTCCCCCCACCTCCTCTCTCCGCTAAGATAAAATATTGGGGTTTAATTTGTGATATTTCCTAATAGATTTCTCAATAGAAATGTGAATATAATTTATCTGAGCGATATGTCTATTCATAATAATCCTTGCATTTGATATAGCGCCTTATCATGTCGAAAGCATGTTTCAAAGTGCTTCACAGGATTTACTGTCAAGTGGAGTGACTGTGCATTTGTAGGTAAAAACAGGAGCACAACTGCACACTCCCATGAAATGAGTATTCAAATTTATTTCGGGAATTATTGGCCAGAACACCAGGAGAGAGAGAAACTCTCTTCTCTTTTGGAATAGTGTCAAAAGATCTTTAAGATCCACCTGAACAGACAGACAGGAGCTTAGTTTAACTACTCATGTGAAGGACTGCGCCTTTGATAATACAGCATTCCCCGTGCACGGAACTTGCTGTGTCTGCCCAGACAATGAGCTCAAGTCCTGCAAATCATTCAGTGAAGACTTTTACAGTTGTATTGTCCCTCCAGCAAAAAAATAATTTCACTAATCTCGTATTGACCTTCCTTGCTACTGTAACCGTATTAACTACTCCATTTCCTTCTGTTTAACTGAGGATACGATTACATTTCGAGCCAACCCAATTGGCTTCTTCCAAGATAAATGTCCTCGACAATGTTTGATAATATTTCTCTTTGTTGCCTGGAGTTCAGTGATTAGTGCTGCCATTTGTTACAGCCTACCATGGAGAACTTCAAACACTAAATTAGCGCAAAGCTCCCACTGCACTGATAACCATCACTGGAACTCATCAAAGAGCAGCTGTGACTCAAGGAGACATCAACTTCACTACAAAGAAAAAGTTTTCGGCTGTGATTTTGGGGAGTGTGGGTGGGGTGGGGGGAGGGGGGCGGTAGCGCGTGGTGGGATTTGCTATGGAGAAGACGAAAGTTTCTAATCACCTCCCTGAACTAAAAGTTGCAGAAGGTTGTGGGGTACAAGCCCGAATCTAGACTCCGGCACTTCAGATCTCTTGAGGTTTTTGCACAGAAATTGCTCTTTTCTATAATCTGTTATCAAAACCGTGGCAGTGTGAGCAGCAGCCAGTACGTACAGTAGTCCACCCCCCCACCATCCCCCCAACCCCCTCCCACCCCTCCTTCTCCCAGCTCCATCCATTCCGGGGAGGGGGCTAAGTGGCAATTTTTTGCCTGAAGAAGCTTTTAAAAGATTGGTGTCAAGACTGCTGTGCTTTCCTTTTATCCTTCCTGCTCCGCATTGTATGCTTTGATTACTGGGGGAGCGTAGCTGTGACTACCAGCCTCGGGCCGTGTCAATTCCTGCTCCTGTCAGGCAGTGCACCCGGCGAGGGTGACCGTATTTTGTAAATAAGCTTCAGTAACCCGGGGACGTGTGTCGAAGAAACGGAACTCACGACGATTCCTGATAAAAATAATAAAAATAATAATAATGGTTGCATTCGATATATAGTGCCTTATCAAGTAGTTGGAACTACTTGATAAGGCACTATAATCTCAAAGCTCTTCACAGAACATACTGTAAAATCGATTGACTGAATATTTTATGGGTGAAAGTTTCCAGCCTCAAAATCTCCTCTCTGCGCCCCCTCTCCCCCCCATTTCCATCCTCCCAGACCAGCTGTCTTGCAGTCTTTCTTATTGCTAATTTAAGTGCTAAATCAAAGGGCTGTCGCTCACACCCACAGGGATCTGGCCGCCGAATCCCATTAGTACGTTTTTTTTCTAAACCAAATTGGACGCCACGGAGAGAGAAGAGAAGCACTCTAGAGTGGCAGGTCGATCGCTGCAGAGCGCTTCCCCTCTGTGTAAATTTTCTAATGTCTCCTGGCATGTAATTATTGCCTCTACAGGACCCCCGCTGGCTCACACAGCACCTGCCACCAAATGCCTCCAACTCACTCCATTCAAAGCAATCCGCACTGGCACCTAGTGGCACACTTTGGTCATGGCTCATAAATGCACAGAATAATAAATACAGCACAATACAATGCCCGTACACTATATAGTATAGTACAGCATCCGTAACACTGAAACATCTCAAAGGGGCTTCACAGTGAACTGTTGTCAAATGGAGTGACTCTTTTTCTAGGCAACTGTAGAAATCTTTTGTGCAAAGTAAAGGCCCACAAGTTTGTTCACAAATTACATAGTCAATTCACTGTAACATATTCTGTGAAGCGTTTTAAGATGTCTCAATGATGTGATAAGGCACTATATCAAATACAAAGATTATTATTATTACTACAATCAGCCGTAAAACAAAATGGCTACAACTGTATAAATCCTTACATTTGGTACCGTTCCATTCACATCGTAACAACATCTCAAAGTACTTCACAGGATTTACTGGATTTAAGTGGAGCGACTAGGTATTTTGTAGGCGAACACAGCAGTCAATTTGAGCACAGGAGCGTACCACAATCACCATGAAATAAATCAAAATAAATAGTTGGCCAGGACATTGGGAGAGAATAAACAAAAGGCAGAAATCTGAAATAAAAACAGAAGTCGTTGTGAACACTCAGAAGGTCAGGCAGCATCTATGGAGAGAGGATACTGAGAGAAGCTCCCTTGTCTTTTTGAGTAGTGCCATGGTATCTTTAATGTCCTCTTGAACAGGCACAGATGGGAGCTTGGATTAACGTTTCATCTGCAGGTCTCGGCTAGCTCTGGCTTCCTGCTTCTCCCTCGGCCCTTCCGCTCCACATGGGTGGCCGTGCTTCCAGCCACCATGCCCCAAAGTTTTGTAACTCTCTCCTTCAATCCCTCCTTACTCCCTTTCTTTCCATCTTTCAGATCATGACTTTCCTCTTCGACCGTGCTCACGGTCACCTCCTCCCTCTCTCCGACTTGGTGTCAGGCTCCGCCACTGTTAAGCCCTCCCCGACTCTGGCCCACGTTATGTAAACGCAAGTTGTTGTTGCATTGTGGATAAACATCACAGCCAGTTTGTGCACACAAAAAAAACGAAGAGAGAGGTGGGAAGAATTGAAGAACAAGAGTAATAGGATGTGCAGCATATAACCAAAACACACAGAAACAGTAACAGCTTTCAGAAGGGAATTGGGCAAATATTTGGAAAAAGACTACAGAAGGGTGTGAGGGGGAAACTGGGACCAGACAGAGAGCTCTTACATAGAGCCGCACAGCCATTGTGAGCTGAAAGGTCTCTTTCTATGTGTAACATTCAGATTCTGTTAGTCCTTGCATTTGATATAGCGCTTTTCACGTCGGGAGGACGTCCCAAAGCGCTTCACAGAACACACTGTAAAGTGAATTGACTGTATATTTGTGGGCGAACGCGGCAGCCAATTGCGCACAGCAATGTCCCACAAACAGTCGTAGATTGAAAATGACCAATGTATTATTGTTTTTTGGAGGGATTACTATGTGGCTCTGTGTGGAGTAAGGAAACTTGCCCAAGGTTTCGCCCTAACTGGAATTTAACTCAGGTCTCTCACTTGCAAAGCAAGTGCTCTAACCACTGAACTACAGGACTCCACTATTATTATTATTATTATTATTATTTTTATTATTCTGTTAGTCTGTGAACAACAAAAAAATCACACTTATACAGCACCTTTCACGTCAGAAGGACGTCCCAGGGTGCTGTATAATGAAACGTTTGCACCCGAGCTGGGGGTTGGAATCAAGAGGGGTGGAAGGGTGGCCAAAAACATGATCAAAGTCCAAAGTCTTGAGAAGGGCCTTGAAGGAGTGGGTGAGGCGGATGGATTCATGGAGAGGGTGGGGGCAGAAAAGCCGATGGCTCGACCACCAATGGTCAATGAAAAGGCGCTGTGCCTTTTAACGAGGGATATGGTGGTTAGTGCAGTGAGGAGAGGTTAGAGTTCGGTAACCTCAGGTGTAAGAGGGAAAGGCTAATCTGATGGTAAACAATTCTCTCAGTGCCGTTAGCTATCCAGTTAGTTAGATCGATACACAGTGCCCCAGAGAGTACCCCTGAGGACAGCTTTTGCAGCAGCTCCTTACGATGCGGTAAAACAGACAGGATCTAACCCTGAGTGAACAGGCTGCGTGATCGGAGCCATTCACTGGTCGAGGGGATCAGAGCAGAAAGGATTTAATAATCCTTGCGGTAGCCACATCGCCCATAAATGCAAGAAACATCTAAATGCCTTCACAAGGAACTACTGTCAAGTGTAGTGACTGTGTATTTATAGGGGGGAGGGGGTTGCAAGATTAAAAGCTAACGTTCCTGGGGTCTCAATAACTTTACCCAGTTTGTACAAGACAATCCTCAGGTTGCACTGACCGAGCTGATATTAGGTTGTGGCTGCAATTGGCCTCAGTCTCCTTGGGTTAGAGACAGAGTAACTCGACTGAGTTTTCTATTTCTGATTGCTGATGTGTGTGTGTGCGTGTGTGAGTGTGTGTGTGCATGGGTGTATATGTGAGTGTGTGTATGGGTGTATGTATGAGTGTGTGTGTATGGGTGTATGTGTGAGTGTGTGTGTGTATATGAGTGTGTGTGTATATGAGTGTGTGTGTGTGTAGGGTGTGGGTGTATGGGTGTGTGAATGGATGTGTGTGTAGGTGTGTGTGTGTGTATGTGTATGGGTGTATGTGTGGTGAGGTTCCATTTAAGGGAGTTTCTCTCTCCCGGTGTCCTGGACAACAATCCCCCAAATAAAAGTACTCATTTGTTTTGTGGCTGTTTGTGGGACGCTGCTGTGTGCAAATGGCTGCTACGTTTCGCCCACAAAATATACAGTCAATTCACTTTGAGACTTCTCAATGAGGTGATAAAGCGCTGTATCAAATGGAAGTATTATTATTTTATATTAAAGCAACTGAGAGTTTATGATTAAAGTAGCATCCATTTACTGAACTAAGATGTACATTCACAGCACATCTCTCCCGACAGGCTATGGACCCTCCTCCCTCTGCTTCCGGCATTCACTAGCTTTGAGTTGAACAACATGTTCGGAATTATCCAGTCTCCTGGATTCCCCAATCCATATGGAAACAACCTCAAGCAGAACTGGAATATCTCCGTTCCGGGTGGATTTGTGATAAAACTCTACTTCTCATACTTCAGCCTGGAACTCTCGTACCTGTGTGAGCATGACTATATCAAGGTATGTCACTGGTCCAGAACAGCATTAACGACTAGATAAAATGACCACAGCAACAAATTACATTTGTAGCGCCTTTCATGTCAGGAAGGATCTCAAGAGGTCCTAGGAAGAATGCCTATTAAAGGTCTATTTGTCCTCATCCTTCCAGAATACCATTACAGTGTCAAGCTGATCTTAAATCAGTCCATTGTCTGCACAAGATTGGTTCAGATGAAGAAGGCCCTTCAGCCCAGCTGGTCTCATCCCCCCATAACACCCACCCTAACATCCCTCTTGTCACAGCATCAAACTGTTTTTAAATGAGTCCCAGTGTCTTGGCCTCAACCTGGCAAACTGTTCCAGGCATTAATTATTCTCTGAATAAATAAAAACTTTCTGGTGTCTGATGTAAAGCTGCCCTTTGAACTCTAAACCTATGCTCTCTTGTTCTATTATGTTGACTCAATATTGTAAAAGTATTATTCCAGATCTACTTTTATAATTCCATTTAGAATGTTATATACCTCTATCAGGTCGTCTCTGAGAGGATTCCTTTAATATATTTCCTTTATTGAGCCCTACCTTGCCTAACCATTGCTCAGTTAAGAGAAACAACTTATGATTATGCATGCTTTTACCTAGAAACTTAACACCCATCGCACAAATGTTCATTTCAATGTGACTTTACCCATATATGTAATGCTTCCAGCAATGGGGGCCATCCTTGCAGCTCTCCTCTACATGGCCCAGGAAAGTTCTATATAGAAGACGATTAATAGCTGGAATGTGGGTGCCAGGAAGGGTGGTTGAGACCAGGAAACTGTGACTCATTTATGAAACAGCTGAATACGGTCATGAGAGGACATTCAGCAAAAATGAGATCTAATGGCCCAAAGTTTATCTGAACCTCTCTGGTGATATTTCTCAGATCTTCGCCCTCTACTGGAGCCATGTCAGATTTTTCAGAGCCTGAATACTTCCTCATAGACTCTCTGGGCACCTCCCTAAACTATCCAACTATTCAGTACCTCAGGACATTCAGTAGCAAAAAAAAAGTACTGCCCATAAAAACATCCACAAAATACCTACTTGAAAAGAATGTAAGTTGGATACTTACTCGAAAAAACAATTTGCAAGGTTTTCAGGAAAGAGACGGGGAGTGGGACTAATTGGAAACTGTTACAAAGAGCTGGCAAAGGCAGGTTGGGGCCGTATGGCCTCCTTCTGTGCTGTAGGATTCTATGATTCTAAAAGATCGATCCACTGAAGAAAAGTCAGAAACGTCAGCCTTTATGCTTTTCAGATTGTGTCGGACGGAGTGGAGCTGGCCAGGCTGTGTGGTCAGAACAGCACGGACACGGAAGACGCACCAAGTGACAAACGATTCTATTCCACCAGCAACAACATGACAGTAACATTCCACACAGACTATTCAAACGAGAACAGCTACCCAGGGTTTGTAGCACATTACGCTGCAGAAGGTAAAGAGATTTCTCCTCTTTCCTGCAGCTGCTAATTCCTCAATAACCTTTATTTGGTACAGTGCGTTTCACATCAGGACGACATCTCTAAGCACTTCACAGGATTTACTATGAAGTGCAGTGTCTGTGTGTTCTGTAGGCGAGCGCTTTGCTGGGGGTGCAATTGTTTTTTGTGGGGGTTCGCAACAGCCTTGTGATTCAGGTACTTTCAAAAGATAAAGTTAAGTCTGTTTAGGAATTTGTTCAATGCCAGATATTAGATGCTCCAAAACACCTTACACAGCTGAAACACTAGACCACGCATTCATCACCTCCCACCTGGACAATTCAAATGCCCTCCTCGCTGGTCTCCCCAGCTCCACCATCCACAAAATCCAAAACTGATCCAAAACTCCACCTCCTACATACTCACCCACATTACAACCTGCACTTTGCATTTACACAGCGATGGATGGCGTCCTGCAGCACTTAACAGTGGCGGAGGAGCGCGATGCCGAGCCAGGGGGAGGGGGAAGATGACTGTAGGCATGGTCGAAGAGGATAGTCTTCAAATGCAACCTGAAAATGGAGAGGGGGCAATGTGAAGTGATTGAGGGAGAATGTTCCACAGCTTTGGGGTGTAGTGGCTGAAAGCACGGCCGCCGATGGTCTGGCAGAGCGTCTGGGGGAACGAGGAGGACCGGAGCCAGTTGAGCGCAGGCAGCGGGTGGTGGTGTGGGGAGAGAGAGCAGGTTAGAGAGATGGGGGAGTGTCAGGAGGTGAAACGATTTAAATACAAGTTTGAGGATCTTGAAATCGATCCGCTCTGTGACAGGGAGTCAATGGAGTTTGACAAGGACTGGGGTAATGGAGGTACGGAGTTTAGTGCGGGTGAGAATGTGGGCGGCTGAGTTTTGAATTAGTTGAATTTTGTGAATAGTGGAATAGGGGAGACCAGCGAGGGGAGTGTTTGAGTAGTTGAGGTGGGAGGTGACGAAGGCACAGACGAGGGTTTGGTGAGTCTTAGAAGAGATCAGGGAGGGTGAGGAGAAATGAACCGCAGGAATTAAAGAGTACGGGTTCTATCTTATCACCATTCAGCTGCAGGAAGCTTGCGCTCATCCAGGCCTTGATGTCTGTCAGACAAGCTGACAGAACATCAGCGGACTGGGAGTCGGAGCTGGTGGAAGGAAAGTAGATTTGTGTGTCATCTGCATACATGTGGAAATTTATCCTGTGTCTGCGGAAGACATCGCGAGAGGGAGCATATAACAGAAAAAGGAGGCCAAGGGTACTCCACAGGTGACTGGGTGAGAGTAAAAACCATTGGCCGAGATGAAGTTTTAGCAGTTTGTTAAGTAGGACTCGAACCATGCAAGTGCGGTTCCAGGTGGATGAGGGAGGAGAGATGGTGGAGGAGGATGGTGTGGTCAACTGTGTTGAATGCAACAGAGAGATCCAGGAGGATGAGGAGGCAGAGAGAGCCCTGGTCACAGAGGGAGAGGATGTCATTTGTTACTTTGAAGAGCGCTGTCTCAGTGTGTGGGCTGGGTGGAAACTCCGTACCCCCATCACACCAGTTCTAGCCAGGCTATATTGATTCCCTGTCGCCGAACGGATCGATTTCAAGTTCCTCGCACTCGTTTTCAAATCCTGTTACCTGCCTAACACTGCGACCTGCTTACTCCCAAACCCACTTTCCGCTGCCTCCGCTTGACTGGTTCTGGTCTTCTGCACCATGACCTGGTGGCCTCTATTCCACCATCGGTGCTGTACCTTCAATCACTATGCCCCAAAACTCTGGAACTCGCCCTTTATCCCATCGCCTTGCCCCTTCCTTCCCTTCAGATAACTGAAGACCTTGACTGTGCATGTGGGTAACTGCTCCCCCCCGGCGTCCTGCTCCCCACTGTCAAGTTCTCTGGAACGCTATAAATGCAAGTTGTTGATGTTATAGAGCACCCAACTCCTCTGCCCGCACCCTTCACTCAGCTGGCAAAGGCCTGCTAAATGTTCCCCGACATCTCTGCACCATCATCTGTGACTGTGCCTTCTGCTATTGCACCCTACACTCTGGAACTCCCTTCCTCAATCCCTCTGCCTCATTTGCTCTTCATCTATCTTCAAATGTATGTCAGTCTCGCTCAGTGGTAGCACTCCCACATCTCAGTCAGGTTATGGGTTCAAGCCCCCCATTGGGTCTAAGCTGATGTTCCAATGCAATGCTGGGTGGGTGACACATAGGTGCCATCCTTCAGATAAGACATTAAACTGAGGTCCTGTCTGCCTGTTCAGGTAAATATTAAAAATCCCATGGCACTATTTGAGAACAGAACTACTTGAGGTAAGAAGGGAGTTTCTCTGACTCAGTATCCTGGCCAAAACCAAAAAAAAGGTCATTTGTTTCCTGACTATCCATGGGACATTGCTGTGTGTAATTGTGCTGCCGCATGAGTCTACAAATATGTACTCCATTTCAGCGTAATCCTGTGAAGCGCTTTGGGATGTTCCTCTGACAGAAGGCACCATACCAAAGGCTAGGATTATTATTATATTAAAACTCACCTTAAGACCTATCTCTAACTTCAAGATGTAACTAGATAAATATTTGTTGAGTCAAGATATTAAGGGATATGGAGCAAGGGCAGGTAGCTGGACTTGAGGTATATATCAGTCATAATCTTATAAAATGGCAGAACAGGCTCGAGGGGCTGAATAACCTACTCCTATGTCTATATATCTATGCGCTGATAGTCACCTCCACCCATTTGCTAAGTGGTCATTCCTGCCACTGTGCAGCGCTTTGAGATGCTATCCTGAGTGAAGGGCATTATATAAATGCAAATTCTTATTGAGTAAACCTAGACCCAGTTGGAATTTGTCCCGATATATCTTGTGGTATCCACCGCTTCCCAGTAAAGCATTCCAAGACATTACCCATACGATAAGTTCTACATCCCCCCAAGCTGTTGTTGTTATGAAACATTCTTAAGACATAGTTTACACAACAGGGAGTTTGTATAAATGCAAGTACCACAGAACTATGTGATTTATGTGACCGTCCAGTGGTGTTAATTCCTCACAATTACCACTGTTCTGAATTTGGTTAGAATGCAGCAATCCAGCTCCATGATGTACTCCTGACCAGTTTTAAACATTTCAAGCATTTGAAGAATATTAAGTCCAACTTAATATTAAGTCTTTTAGTTTTAGGAAACTTTTTCCTTAGGCTGTTCTTAAGAGGCAACTGTTTTGATACTATACTTGGAACAGTGACATAGAAACCTGTTTTAATTTCTTCCTCTAAGATCTTATCAATAAACTTGGTTCCTTCCACAAAAGCTGCTCCATGTTCCTGAGCTGACCTTCAATCTCAGTGGTACTGCTTGCCTCATACCGTATATGACCTGCAGACTCAGGCATTGCTCTGGCTGTCTTCTCTATACAATGAGCAAATACTTTACACAGTATATAATCCCTCTTGACTATAGTATGCCTTCAAGTTAGTTTTAAAGGACAAATGGTTCCCTTTACTAACAGGATGGGTTGTTGTGGCCAGGACGCTGCACACTTCAATAGCTTGAATTTGGAATGGGAAGAAGGTGGATATTCCGGAAGAATGACATTAATTTCGACAAATGGCTTTCTTCATCCCTAACTTTTTTGAGCTGACTCATCAAACTAATGGTTGTGTGTCAATTGTTTTACTTCATAAATAACAGACCAAACTGATTACACTTTAACCTGCTGCAGATGTGGATGAGTGTAACCTGCCCGATCACGAACAACCTTCGTGTGACCATTACTGTCACAACTATCTGGGTGGCTATCACTGCTCTTGTAAACTGGGATACTTCCTGGATTCAGATGGAAGAAATTGCAGAGGTAAGAAGTAAAACTTAAAATACTTACCGTATAAAAGTAAAAGGGGCACAGATCATTCAAGCTCCCAAGTAACGAGGCTAACCCCCAATGTTGAATTTGTGTATGGTGGAGCTGGGGAGACCAGCGAGGAGGGAATAGTCCAGCTGGGAAGTGATGAAGGCATGGACGAGAGTTTCCGCTTCTTTTGTTGTGAGGTATGGACGGAAGTGGGCAACGTCGTGGGAGTGAAAAAAAGTGTTCCTGGTCAGGGAAGGGATGTGGGGTAGAAAGGAAAACTGGAGATCGAACCTTGCGTACGGGTTCGGTGAGTCTGAGGGAGAGCCCGGGGAAGTTGAGGGGATCTGCAGTAGAGAAGACGCTGACGAGAGCCAATGAGTATGGCTTCCATATTACCGACATTCAGCTGCAGGAAATTTGCACTCATGCTCAACAAACAAGCTGACAGGATATCAGCGACCGAGTCGCAGCTGGAGCAGTAGATTTGGATAACTCCGCATACATGTGGAACTTGACCCCATGTCTGCAGATGACATTGCCGAGAGTGAGCGTAGTTAAGAAGGGGGCCAAGGATGGAGCCTTGGGATACCCTGCAGGTAACTCAAACCATACTGGTGCGTCCTACCAAAATAGATGAGTAGAGGCGGTGGAAGTTAACATGATCAACTGTTTCATACACAGTGGAGAGGTCCAGGAGGACAAGGCGGCAAAGAGAGCCTTGGTCACAGATAGAGAACATCATTTATTAATTTGATGAGCTATGTGCTGAAGGCAGGGTGAAAACTGAACTTGGAGGGATCGAGTAGTGAGAGGTGTGAGCGAAGTTGATTTGCAACATGTTCCAAACCTTTGGCCAGCAAGGACAGGTTTGAGATGGGTCTGAAGTTTGTGAGGTTGGAGGGAAGGTTTTTTAAGGAGTGATGACCATGGGTTTTAAGGGGGATTAGGACAGAGCCTGAGGAGAGGGACTCGTTTACTGTGTCTGCCAGCAGTGGGCAGAGGAAGGGGATTTGAGTGACCAGAAACTGGATGGGGAGGGGGTCAAAGTGGTGGGCTTCATCTGGGTGATGGTGGGGGCAGGGAGGAAGAGATGGGGGCAAAGGGTGTGGACCGTGGTTGAAGGAGGTACGGGGGGTGGGGGGGGGGGGGGAAGGCGAAGAGAGAGAGAGGTAGCCAGGCAGATGTTGTCCATCTTGGGAGATAAAGATGTCCAGGACCTCTTAACACTTGACTCCAGGTCAGTCTCCACCATCGTCATCAATGTTACCCCACATAAAGGGCGCTCTATAAATCCAAGTTGTTCCTGTTACGAGGGATGGACTCAGGAAAGATTAGCTAGAGCTGTGAAGACTGAATCTCTCCAACAAGGAGACTTTATAGTTGTACAAAATATTAATTGCAATTAAGTAAACATTAATACTTTGTTTCACCAAGAAAGCAGGATAAGACTGAAGGGTGAAAACTGGACCGGAGGGGTTCATGTAGGGAGAGATGTGAGTGAAGTTAATTTGCAACGTCGTCCGCTTGGGTTGGGGTTGTGAACAATTTGGACACACCAGGAGATATTTGTAACTATCCTTATAATTGATATAGCACATTTCACAACCTGCATTTGTATAGTGCATGAAGCAGGCTGGAGCCCGCTGAGCGAACATGATAGTAGGGGGGAGCAAGATCACGGAGGGCTTTGAAGGTGAAGACCAGGATTTTCAACTATCCTCTATGTGATGTGACGCCGGTGGAGTCAGGCGAGAATGGGGGTGTTAGGGTCAGAGCCTGGTGCAGGCAAGCTCACGGGCTGCGAAGTCCTGGATGATCTGCAACCTATGGAGGGAGGAGATGGGGAGGGCAACAAGGAGCTTGCCTAGTCAAGCCTCGGTGTAATGAAAGTGTGTACGAGGGTTTCGGCAGCCTGCGATGTTGCAGAGTCACATTGCTGTTTAACATCTCGTCCAAATTACACTTCTCTGAAGGTACAAAGTCCTTGAGGATGTACTAAAGCCTCTAGAACTACTGAGTCGGATGTTGCCTAATCACACTTCACATGTTTTGTTGCATTTTATTCATCTCAACCACATAGGAAGGATGAAAACACTGGATGTATTTAAGAAATAACTTGTAATGGCAACTCAAAAGCCTTAGGACAAATGTTGTGTAAGGATGAAGTCAAATGGGCCTGGTCAGCCTGGCTCATTCGGTGGCTCCCTTGTCTTGTGGAGCAGATATTTGGAGTTTCGGGTCCCATTTGAGCTCAGTCTAGTGCACCAAAGGAGTTCTGCACCTTCAGAAAATCCTTTGGACGAAATGTTAAACAAAGGACCCTTTTGCATCTCATCAGGTGGACATTAAAAATCCTCTTCGACACAATTTGATACGAGCAGTGTCCTGGTCAATGAGGCCCTAGTTTTACTTCAGCCAATTGTGGCTCACTACAACATTCAGTTACAGATACATCTGCCAGCAGTTCCCTGAAAATTCAAGTTACTTTGTTGTAGATACTAAATGAAGGTGTGAGGACTATGTATTATTCACCTCTACCTTTGCGATCAAGGTTTTACCAGAATCTCTAGGAACCACCGAGTCAGACGTTGCCCAATCACACTTCACATTTCTTTGTTGCATTTTATTCAGAACTGTAATCACTTCAAAAGATCTCACAGCACATGTGATTGCTATTGGACAGGCAAATGCAACCTCTGCAAACAATGAAATAATGAATTATTACCCTTTCTCTTGGGGAATTTGGAGAATCACAGCAATGCCTCGTTCCAACTAGCACTGCAGGGATATTTACTCCCACCTCAACAAGCTTCATGAAACTGACTGCGCCACAACTTCACAATGATTTGCTGTGTTGTGAAATATTGTTGATTTGCTTATATGGTGCCCCTCCCCCACTAACTGCACTAACCAATCTTTTCCGTTCTTAGTGCGCAAGTCATCCTCAAGCCATACCTCTACCACAGCAAACCGACAGCTGCTGTTAAATCAAACAGACTGAAGTTCAGTGAGTGGAATTTTGTGCAGAGTTCAGATCAAGTAATCCCTGAATTTGATATAGGGTCTAAAATGTTGAAACAGCTCAAAACAAGGCAGCCAGTGTACACAGTGAGGTCCCACTGAACAGCCAGGAGTGAACAAACCTATTCAAGGCTCTGGGCCTTTTCGCTCAGTGTCCATTTAATTATTTGCAGGAAACCAATTTTAATAATAATTTGGGGAAAAAGGTTGCATTCCTCAAGAAGACTGTTGCTGGTACCAGACTCAGAAACCAGAAGGATTCAATGTTTACAAATTCTTTTACAAAACTTTTTATTACCAATGCAATTCTGATGCGTGCAGGACATTTTATACTGGACATAAATGTGGCAGTGCACTTTGATTTCTCAGCGATAGCCTCACTGATCTCAGACCAGAGCCCAGACAGAGTTCTGGACTCACAACACCAACATTTTATATGTGAAGTAAAGTATGAATACAGGAAATAGAATGGTTGTCCTTCAGTCAGGATGGAAAGATTATAAATACTAACGGTAACACTAGCTCCACACAGGTTGGGGAAATGGTATTCAATCTCATTATGAGCTTAAACAAGTTAACCCCTTGTGTTCTGGACAACATTATATGTGACTTTGTGACAAGAGGAATCCCATCATAATCACAGAACACAAATATCCCTATAGCCTTAACGTAAGACATCTGCCGTAACATCTCATCTGATGGGAAGCATATCTAGCCTCTAAAGAATTTTATTGTATGAACTGAAGAGCCACAAGGAATAATAAATGTGTCGAAATTTAGCACATGTACAATATTCCCAATGATTCCTATTGTGCATAACAGATCAGCAGTTCAGGCCTCCACTGGTTTATTACCGCACTCAGTGGGATATGGGTGGATGTACAGACGGCCCATGACAGCCCAGTTTAAATCATCATATACGATAATATTTGTCAATAATCAATGGAAACTACAGACTCTGATCATTACAACACTTGCATGCATATTTCAGACTCCCATATTGCCCCTACTCAAGAGGATCCATCGATATTTCAAAACCACCCTTGGACTCTAGACAAGATGCAGTGTTTTGTCTGCCCCATCATGCCACCCCAAGCCCCAATTCACGATGTTCAAGCCTTGAAGTTCATAAAAATGCTCCAATTTCCTAGAGTCAAGACACAAGGAAATCGACAAAAGCCTCATGGGTTTGAAAATAGTGGTTGTATTAGATTGTTCAACTTACATGTGCAAATCCCAATGATGGGTGCAGACAGGAGAGAATAAGAGATGCACCCTGAAACTGCCACCACAGCACCTCCAGCCTTCCAGAGGGAACACCGACAGACAGGAGCCTGGCACTTCCAGCTGCAATACGTTGGGACTCTTAACCCGGAGTCAATCAATATTTCAACTCACCTGCCCTCAGTGCAAGTTTCCTGAAACCTGGTCACTGGATGCTGGACTGGTCACTGGATGCAGCAATGCATAGGAGAGGGGCGTGCAATCTCTGAGGGGCAGGCCATCCTGCCCCAGAGAAGCCCAGCTGCCACCATGTCTTTACCATCTGTTACATTTAACATTTGACGACCAACTCTTACTATTTCCTCCGTGTGATGATGCATTCTATGAAACCTGTAAATGAAACAGTTAATAACATGAAATGTTTAAAATTTAGGGCGTCCCTAGTTAATTGGGAATATTGTTTAGGAACAGATTAATTCTATTATGGATTATATTTAAGAATTCTAAGTACAGTCGCAACATTAGTGCAAACATTAAAAGCAACTCCAAATTAACTTTTCCTCTTCAAAAGTACATTCTTGGCAAAAATTTGAGAATTCAACATTACAGTATAGACCCATTAAGTTATAACAGAAGCAGGCCAACACAATTAATGGATGGGTCAATGATTTGGGGATAACCCCAACATATTTGAAATCCTACAGGTGGGTCAGTTATTTAAAGTTTGTGATTTAAGTGGTCCCCATCAGGATGCAGAGACGAGATCCTTTAGTCAAGTCACCTTTTTATTAGGAACTCCCTACAATGACAAGGTAAAAAAAAAGGTTTCAAAAGCACAAACAAACTAGCAATCCATTTATTAAGCGCTGCATTCGCAAGAAACTTTCAAAACAAACGTACACACGGCTGAAGATGGCCAATGAGCTCATCCAGTCATCTGCCACAATACACGCCACAAAATGTTGTGATCCTTCATAACTCCACATCATATCACTTGTCCACACTTACATATCAGTAATACAAAAATACATCACCAACCATTCGGCACTCACAACAGATGACATAGGAAGGGAAAGGTTTTAAAACACAAAAAATATTCAGGGGTTGAAAGCAATCGAAAACAAAGCTGCCGCCTGCCATTCTTAAGCAGGACTGGGGTATCTTATGAGCTGCTTCGACACTTAAATCCAATCGTCACAATTCTGGTTTGATGCAAATCTTTCTAAAGAGGGGGTTGCTTACATTTTCAGCTACAAATTAAATCAAATTATTGAAATGTCTTCCTCTTTCTGTTGAAACAATAACTTTGGCCAATTTAGCTGCTGATTAATTTTGTGTGTGCTTCAACCCCTGGAGTATTCATTGCACTGGAACACATTCACATATTTTCAACTACAACAGGCAAACCAAAGCGAGTATCAACATCACTCCAAATGTCTCTTTTCCATCAAATCAGTCACGGACGTCCGTTGCGAACGCAAGGGGAGGGGGGGGAAAAAAGCACTCGTACTGTCTCCCACTTCTGCTCTCTGCATTCTCTCACCACGCCAAGGGACCAGGGGGGTCACATCTTGCCACGTCTTAAAAAAAAATCCTACAACGCACCACGCAGTCCTCTCCACGCTCTCTCCTTCCTCGCTCATACCAGCCAGCCTTTCATTCGTCTTCACCACCATTAAGCATCAATCCCACACCAGGCTTCCTTCCAAATAGTCTCATCACAGCTGTGTCACATCACCATCCGGCTGCAAAGCGCTGATAACGGATCGATGGAAAGAACAGTAGAGGACAAAAATGGAACACCCACCGTGGTCCCTTCGTACAGAACTTGCACTCCATGTAGCAGTGTTGTGTGTGATGGTTTTATAGAAAGCAATTTCTAGACAGTATGAAGGTGTTCATGCGCGGACATCCAGATCACTCCCCTTAAAAAGACAGTACTTCACTTGCTTTGAGGTTAAAAGTAGATCTACTCTTCAACAAACCGTTAAAACATAGCCCAGCCTTTTCAAATTAAACCATTGCCAAAATTTCCTGCAATGATTTAAGCCAACAAAGACCATATTGCTGTCACTGGCTGTACTGAAATTAACTCCTGATTTTATGGTGAAACACCATCTGATTTGAGGAGATGAACATGCCAGTGAACTCAAGGTCAAATTGAATCATCATTGAGGAGACTCTTGAGACAAAGAACCTACAGCTGTACAAGGCAAGTTCTTAAGAACCAGCTGTAAGTAAATACATTGCTTAACAATGGGACAATTTTCTTTTAACACTTCATGCTTTTATAGCTGCTCAGATAAATGTGCTAATAGGCTAAGAAATTTTAATGCAATGCTTTACTTATCAATGATACAAGAATGCCAATATATATTTGAACGGTTGTTGTGTAGATCTGATACTGAAGCTGTACACAATCCTTCAGATTGTGTCTGTGCAGTCTACTTAAGAGCCTATTAGAAAGAAGTTGCCCTACATGCAGATCAGATGTCTAGCTGCTACGTCAAGCATTTCAGAGACTACGCCATGCAGAACTGGGTTTAAGAAAGCCACATGCAGAGAAGCACAGCCGCTGCACTAAAAACATTGCAGCGAACAGAAACGTTAAAAACTGCAACTGGTTTAAGTCTACACACGAAGAAAAACAGACTGAGGATTCTCCAAATTTCTGCACATTGATCTTAAGCATTAAACTGAGATGTTAAACTCAACTACTTTGTGATTAGCATTCTAATCTTTATCCCAGTTAGTGCTGGAAGTGATAAGTCTCATCTAAAACAAACGATACATAAGCAGGTTAGTATTTCAAAGATGTTTTAGTGTTGACTTAGCTTAGTTATGCCACCCAAGCCAGACTACAGAAAGGGATCCTGCAATCTTAAATCAGCAATACTGTCTCTTTAATGGAGTGCTCTATCTACCACATCGGAAATGAGATGAGGTTCAGAGATCAGGATGAAGATACTCTTCCAATATTTTTTTCATTTACTCACGAAAGAAACATCACTGGAAAAAAAAGACATGGAGGATTATAACCAGATTCTCCAAATCAGAAGTATTAAGTTTGATGGATCTGAAAATGTGGGGTAAAATTAATATGAACACCTTCATGCAATTGTTTGTGTCGGACGCTATCCCTTGGATATTTGCAGGCAGTTTCTTTGGCCAACCTTTTCACCCTGAACTGCATTAAAATCTGTTCAAAAACCTGTAAAGTTGCACACAGCGACTTCGCCCACACTTCTTCCGTTCCAGTTACTGTAAACTGTATTGAATAGGATGGGAGGGGGGGAAAGGGGGAAGAAAGAAAGGAAGAGGCAAATTACGGGCATGGGACGCACTTCACTAGAAACATAAAACCATGCAAAGGTTATGCAGGTCAAAAAAACAGTTGCTTTAACTGGGAAATGCAAACTTCTATGGCTCCTGACAAAGGAGGCCTAACACAGAAGTGATTCAAGACTCCTCTCCGATAAACGCCACATTTTATGCTTTCATCAAACCCAAAACAGGCTAGCATGGCTGGATTACTGACAACTACTGGAGCTGTATCAGACAGCTCCAGCACGCAGCTTGGATATTAGCCCAGCAGCAACCAAAGGCGGCATTAAACAGGAGGTGTTAGAGACTATTAACGACTTCATTTCAGCACAAGCTATCAAGATTTTTTGGAATTACTATGCTTAATGTTGACCTTAATGTACGTTACTGAGGCTGGCATGGCTAATGAGAACTAGTGAAAGCTACAGACCTACAAGATGGATTTAAATAGGATGGGGGGAGGGGGGGGGGAAGGGGCACATAGTAGTATCCCTATTTAGAATTTAGGTTCTACACGGGTTTCCTCCCTCCCCCTGACCCACGGTGCCCTCAAAACTTGAAACACAGCCTGGCTTGGCAATAAAGGGGATAACGTCTTTCAGAAACAATATAGGGGAGAAAATGGGTAAAACCCACTTTCTTTGGTAGGCCACAAAAAAATGTGTGGTTTACCAATGTCAAAAAAATGATGCCAAATTACATTGGACGTCTAGTCTCCCAATACTCACTTTACACATACACTGTTTGATGGATAATAAGTCACAGGCGGGATAGACTCAAGTCATGGCTAACCTGCACGGAAGGTGAAAATGCCAATTTGTTCATAATGTTCAAGAAACCATTTCACTTCAAGTACTTGTTGCAGCAGTGGGTCATTTCACTAAACCTTTTAAGCCCAATTTGGGTACGAACCTCATCTACAGCACGGAAACGTCCCAGATAGAAAAGTGGGAAGTACCATAGTCAAAGCAGTGTGGACCAAAAATAATTGTTAAGATTGAAAGTTGTAACTGAATGTTCCAGCTAGGGAGAGCCCAGCACTTTACGCTCCATCAAAGAGTGTACAGTGTACGAGTGTAAATGCCCGTTGAATTTAAATGACAAAATAACATCTCTTTTTTTAAAAAAAGGGACTGTGGATACTTATTCAAGTGAGAAAAAAACATTTTTACTTACCATAATTCTAAACTCCCTTTGCTAATTCATTATACCCCCCACAGCGCTTTACATCCCCCACCCTGATGATTTAGACTCCATACTAGATCCAAACCCAGTGCTAAACCCAGCCCCAGTTGCTGGGTTAGATGTTGAACCCCAACCCAAGGCCCCAGAATTGGTGCCATACGAATTGTTGGATCCAAAAGCCTGCGTCTGTTCCCTCGGTATACTGCCCTGCGGCGTTTGGTTAGCTGCTGTTGTGCCTGTTTGGTTCTGCTGACTGGCCAACATGCCCATCATCCCCCAGCTGCTCTGCAAGGCTGCTGCCATCATGGCCGGGTTGATGCTGAAAGCCCCGAAATTCATCCCACTGTTACTAGTGGGGCTGCCACCAAGCCCCCCTCCACCTCTGCTGTTTCCAAACCCACCCTGATTTCCATAGCCTCCCTGGCTACCGAATCGTCCAGTTCTATCTAGCTGTTGTCTAGAGTTCAGGTGCTTAGGCTCTGCATTAGAAATGTGCACGCTGACCCCCTTAATGATCAGATCTTCACCACACAGAGACTGGGCAATCTGTGAAAGAAAAGCACATTGAAATTATAGCTGAACAGGTTAACAGGCACAGATACACAAACAAACTGACAGTTTCAACTTCTATACTGCACCCCACTGACAAGGCAGTGAGTGCCATTGGAACACTTGCAAATTACTGCTTTGAATAAGACTTACACTAGACAACAGGAACTCTAATAACTGTCAGATTGCTGTAGGAGTTATAGATTGCACTTGCAGTAAAGTTTACAAGTATTGGGCCAAGTTGTGATATGATACGACTTAGAACCAGACAACATAGACTGACATTTGCTGATAGGAGACAGATTGACTAACTTTAGTTACACATGAAGTCACAAATTGATCTACCCTCAACAAAAAGATTCTAATTTAATTTACTAAATGGCATATTAATTACACAAACTGTTTAAAATAGGCACATCACTCCCTTAGCTTGCCACATCCCAGCAAAACAAGCAAACTATAAAAGTACATACCTGATCATCTGCAAAAGTGACAAAAGCAAAAGCTCGGAATGGTTTGGGGATAAATACATCTGTCACATCCCCAAACTGGGAAAAGAATTGGCGAAGCTCATCAGCACTCATGTCCTCGGTGCAGCGGCCAACAAACACCTTCCTACACCTCAGAGGCTCGTCTGCATTTTGCTATGAATAAAAATGCACCACAAGCATGTATAAGTGTTAGTTCAGAACCTTGCTACAGACAGTCCCAAAGCGAATATCTTTGCTAAGGAAAAGGACAACCACCAATCGTTCATTAAAAGGAATATACAGGGTTATTCACAACACAGATTTTGCAATGTTTTTCTCACTGTGGCAGCAAGTTGGTGCTGTTGATCTGAGCTGTAACTACGGCAATTAATGCATTCTATTGTGACTCACCAAAGGCATAGCTCATCGAAGTGAAACATTAGCACTTTTAGAAAATAACAGATTATGTATTGTATAAAAACCTGAACTTTATTGACAGGGATAACAAAATGGAACCTTCGAGCAATGTAGCTCCGCTCAAATCATTGCATTGAAGGTAGGACCAGTCGATTCCTACTATGATCCATCAAGGGCAATTTTAACCATCATGAGCCACAAGGCGAGATGCTGAGATGCAAAGGTTTCCTCATGAGATATTTATTCCTGATACTTTGAGCAGGGAAGTTAGCATCTGATATTACATGATTATTACATGATAATGGGAGTGAAGAGCACACTCTGGTACCTTGGAATTGGGGAGCTTGCAGTCACACCATCGCCCATCAATCATGTGCCGCTGTGACATCACTTTCACCTGTGTTTCATACTCTGTGAACCTGACAAAACCAAAGCCTTTGGAGTTGCCGGTCTTTGTATCCCTCTTCACCTGTAGGGAGAGCAAGAAATCAGATTACATCAGATACACGCTGCCTGTCAAAACCTTGTCACGACAAATAATATGTTGCTATATGGTATCGTATATGGTAACAATGAACTCTATGTTGTGCAGTTAATCTAATACCAAGAAATTTCCTTCTCTGGAAATTTCCAACTCAGTGTTGAAGATTCAGATTTCTAAGGCCCCCAAAGGTTCACCTACTTTTACCTCAGCTTGCAAGACTATTTTGCCTTAGAATTTAACACTTAAATTTCACTCACAAAATAGTCAATTCACTGTACAGTATATTCTGTGAAGCGTTTCGAGACATCTCAAAAAGACATAAGGCACTTTATCAAACGCAAGTATTATTATTGGATCACTAGAAAAAAAATTGTCTTACAAGATAAAGATGAGGTGGAATTCAAGCCACTATATTCTGGACACATTTTCTGCAAACCAGGCTGTCCGCATTAAGTTATTCAAAAAAGAGCTCACCTGCACCATAATCACTTCTCCAAATGTAGTAAAGTAATCTTTCAGGTCCTGCTCTGAGGTTTTCCAAGGAAGTCCAAGAACAATGAGGTCTGATGTCTTTTGGACTGCTCGCTTCACCTTCACAGCTAAAGACGCATCACTCTCGTCCATTTTCCTTTTATTATCTGGACACAACATAAAAGATTGGTAAAGATTGGCCTCTTTATTTTTTTGGGGGGAGGGTCCAAGAAAACCTCGATTCGGCAAAATTTTGGAATTCCGCCTCGGCTTTCAAGTTGGTTTCGCGAATTCTTAACAAAAACCAGAACATTCAAAAACTGAACTTGAACTACGGGCATAAGAATTGTCAAACTCTGAAAGGTGTAAAGCGCTACAGAGGGCGTGCGATCCCCCCCCACAGTCATACCTGCATTTGCATTTAAATCACTCACTTTACAGCATATGAGACGTCTCAAAGACCTGATAAGGCCCGATATCAAATGCAACGATTATTGTTATTGTAGTAGTTAAAAAAAATAATTCGGGGCGAGTACAGTACAGCGCTCGGCCAGCAGAGCCGGACCAACAACGTGGTCTGGTGTCAGTGCCCATCTTGTTTTTCCCAGAGAGAGGGGGAGAGGTAAATCACCCAAGAGAGTTTTTTTGAAAACACAAGAGGGGATCTGCAGCTCAAGTGGAACCCAACTGACACCGAGAGGAGCTGCCCCTCCCCCCAAAACACACACACAGCAGTGAAACCCGCAGCGGTAACCGCACGGCGTGAGGGGAAGCGCCTGAAACGCCTGTAAAAGGGCAGCAGCAGCTGCTGCTCGTGCAGACAAAATGGCAGCCGATCACCTCCCGTCGCTGCGAACACCAGACGCGCCGCTGGCGGCCGGCAGGGGGCGCCCCGCCCCGCGGTGTTCGCGCCTAAAAAAAGGGGCGCGGGGGGGGGGGAGGGGCGCGAGAGCAACGGCTCCTCACACTGACCGGCCTCGCGCTCTCCCCCCCCCTCCCCCTCCGGGCTTTGTCTCACCCCGACTTCGCCCACTCGGCTCAGGCTCTTCCCCCCTCAGGCTCTGGCCCTCCCCTGGGCCACGGCCTCCACGCTTCCCTCCCTCGAGGCCGGGCCTCTCCCCACGCCGCCGTCTCCCACCTACTCCCCACCCCGGGGGGGGCTCACCTTTGGGGTAGTTGACCATGTAGACGAGGTTGCTCCAGCCGTTGTCGGGCGCGTGCAGGATGCCCTCGGCCAGGCGGACCCCGCGCATGCACTGCGTCTCGGGGTTGCGGTAGCGCAGGCCGCAGGCGCCCGGGAACTGCGCCGTCACGGTGGAGAGCAGGACGGTGCCGTCGTCCTCGGACGGGATCTCCATGGGCTCGTCCGACTCCTCCTCCGCCACGCGGATGTACTCGACCATCGAGGGATCCATGTTGCCTGAGGGGCGGTGGGGCGGTGCGGGGAGACGCGGTGAGACAGACAGAGAGAGAAGGGGGGAAACGCGCGAACACACACGGAGCTGAGGAGCCGAGAGCGGCTTTTCGTCTTCTAACGCTGAGGATGATCGCGAGGCCACAGACACACGACGGGACTGAGCGCGGGGGAGAGACACAGAGAGAGAGAGATAGAGACACACACACAGAGAGAGGAGAGAGATCCACCGCTCACAACGAACAGCAGCACAAAATGGCGCTCGGCCGCCCGCTCCGCTCCGGCTTTAAATAGGTCGCCGTCGTCGCTTCTCGCGCTCTTCGTCGTCTGGTCGGGCGTACTACGTCATCCGTTTCGGTGCACTACGTCACCGCCTCTCCGCCTCTGGGCTCGGGCTCTACCATCTGCGAGAGCGCTGGACGGGGAAAGGGGTCCATCGCTACTTCTTTCTCGCACCTTTACTTCGCAAATGTGTTTGGGTTTTTGCGGAGGTATCGGGTTGGTTTACTGATGGTCAGAACAAGTATCTGCAAAGCGTCCTGGAACGGTGGCGCCCTTTGCGGATGCTGCCGCCTCGCTGTGAGAACTGCCGCACACCCGCCCGAGGCGCAGTGGACGCGCCCACCACATGGTGCAGAGAATTGTTACAGTAACAATAAGAGAACTGACTGAGAGCCCTTCACCCCCAACACCGCCCCCCAACACCCCAACACACACACCCCCACCAACACCCCCAACACACACCCCCAACACCCCCCCCACCAACACCCCAACACACACCCACAACACCCCAACACACACCCCCCAACACCCCCCCCACCAACACCCAACACACACCCCCCAACACCCAACACACCCCCCCCAACACCCCAACACACCCCCCCCACACCCCAACACCCCCCCCCAACACCCCAACACACCCCCCAACACCCCAACACACCCCCCCCAACACACCCCACCCACCAACACCCCAACACACCCCAACACACCCCACACACCAACACCCCAACACACCCCCCCCAACACCCCAACACACCCCCCCCCAACACCCAACACACACCCCAACACACACCCCCCAACACCCAACACCCCCCCCACCAACACCCCAACACACCCCCCCCAACACCCCAACACACACCCCCCCAACACCTCAACACCACCCCCCCACCAACACCCCAACACACACACCCCCAACACCCCAACACACACACCCCCCAACACCCCAACACAACACCCCCCCCCAGCACCCCAACACCCCCCCCACCAACACCCCAACACACACCCCCCCAACACACCCCCCCCACCAACACCCCCCCCCAACACCCCAACAACCCCCCCCCAACACCCCAACACACACCCCAACACACACCCCCCAACACCCACACACCCCCCCACCAACACCCCAACACACCCCCCCCCACACCCCAACACACACCCAACACACCCCCCCCCAACACCCACACACCCCCCCCACCAACACCCCAACACACACACCCCCAACACCCCAACACACACACCCCCCAACACCCCAACACACACCCCCCCCCAACACCCCAACACACACCCCCCCAACACCCCCCCCAACACCCCCCAACACCCAACACACACCCCCCCACCCAACACCCCAACACACCCCCCCCCAACACCCCAACACACACCCCAACACCCCCCCCCAACACCCAACACACCCCCACCAACACCCCAACACACACCACCTCAACACCCCAACACACACACCCCCAACACCCCAACACACACCACCCCAACACCCCAACACACACCCCCCCCACACCCCAACACACACCCCCCAACACCCCCCCGCAACACACACCCCCCCAACACCCAACACACACACCCCCAACACCCCCCCACCCAACACCCCCCCAACCCCCAACACACCCCCCCCCAACACCCCAACACACACCCCCCAACAGCCCAACACACACCCCCCCAACAGCCCAACACAACCCCCCAACACCCCAACACACACACCCCCAACACCGCCCCCCAACACCCCAACACACACCCCCCAACACCGCCCCCAACAACACCCCCAACACACACCCCCCCCAACACCGCCCCCCAACACACATCCCCCCCAACACCTCCCCCATCCCCCAAACACCGCCCCCCTCCCCTCCAACACCCCACTCAAACACCCACACCCCCCCAAACACCGCCCCCCAACACCTCCCCCCTCCCCCCCAACACCCTCCACAACACCCCAACACCTCCTCCCTCCCCCCCAACACCCCCTCCCCCCCAACAACCACTGCCCCCCCAACACCCCTCCCCCCACAACACCGCCCCTCCCCTTCCAACACCGCCCCTCCCCTCCACACACCCCCAAACACCCCAACACCCCCCCCCCACACACACCCAACAACCCCCCACACCCCATCCAAACACCCCAACACCTCGCCCAACAGCCCCCCAAATACTGCCCCCCCAACACCCCCACACCCCCCCACTCAAACACCCCCACACACCCCCACTCAAACACCCTCACACACCCCCACTCAAACACCCTCACACACCCCCCCACCCCCCAAACACCCCAACACCCCCCCTCTCCCCCACACCCCAACACACCCCCCCAACACCCCCCTACCCCCCAACACCCCCCCACCCCCCAAACACCCGAACACCCCCCTCTCCCCCACAACCCAACACACACCCCCAACACCCCTCCAAACACCCCATACCCCCCAACACCCCTCCAAACCCTCCAACACCCCAAACCAACACCCCCCCAAACCCTCCAACACCCTCCCCCCAAACCCTCCAACACCCTCCCCCAAACCCTCCAACACCCTCCCCCAAACCCTCCACACCTCCAAACCCAACACCCCCCCCAAACCCTCCCACACCCCAAACCAACACCCCCCCAAACCCTCCCACACCCCAAACCAACACCGCCCAAACACTCCCACACCCCCCCACCAAGCACTCCAACACCCCAAACCAATACTCCCCCAAACACCACTCCAACACCCCAAATACCCCAGCACCCCCAACACTCCTTCACCACCACCCCCCAACACCCCAAACTCTCCAACATCCCAGCATCCCAACACCACTCTCCTCAACACCTCAGCACCACCAGCCTGACCTCCACCCAACACCACACCCCCCCACCCCAAACACTCTCACCACCACCCCAACACCACACCCACCCCAACATAGCCCCCCAACACCACCCCCGCTACTTGCATTTATATAACACTACTGTGTTTTTGTGTGTACACAAATACAAGGAGACAAAGATTCAGACCCCCCAACATACACATACGTTGAGACTGACCCCCACCCACACATACACACACTGAGACATTGAGCGCCCCCCCCCCCCGCCTCACACATACACAAAGACGCCACCACTACAAGACACTGAGATACTGACGCTCTCATACATACACAGACAGACCCCCTCCCCCCTGAGACATACACACTGGAATATTGATTCCCCCCACACCCCTGACCAACCCATATGCACACTGAGCCCCCTCCTCCCACACCACTTCCACAATAACTTGCACCCTCCATGCCAGGTAGCATCTCAGAGCGCTTAATGGTGGTGGAGCCTGACTCTGAGCCGGTGGGACGTGGCTGTAAGCACGGTCGAAAAGGAAGGTTTTCAGGCGGGAATTGAAAAGGGGAGAGAGTTCCAGAATCTTGGGGCGTAGTGGCTGAAAATGCAACTTCCGATGGTGGGGTAGAGGGTGTGAGGGATGAGCAGGAGCCGGTGCCAGTCGAGCGCAGGCGTCAGGTGGTAGATTGGGAAGTGAGGAGTTTGGAGAGGTCGGGAGGTGTCAGAGAGTGAATGGATTTGAACACGAGAGTGAGGATCTTGAAGTCAAACTGTTTGGTTCAAGGCGCCAGTGGAGCCTGGGCCAGAACTGGTGAGATGTGGGTATGCAGTTTGGTGTGGGTAAGAATGCTTGCGGCAGAGTTCTGAATCAGTTGGATCTTGTGAATAACGGAGTTGGGGAGACTGGCGAGGAATACGTTTGAGTGCCCCCCCCTTCCCACCGCGAGCTGAGACCCAACACAAACACCCTTTGCACCACCAAGCTTTCAGCCACGGTGCCCCTAACCTCCCGAACAGAGTCTTGTAACTCAATGGTTAGAGCACAGGCTTCGCAAGTGAGAGCTCCGGGTTCAATTCCTGGCAGGCCAGGGCGAAACGTTGGGCAAGTTTCCTTTCTCCAAACCCTGATAATAATCCTTCCAAAACAAATTGGTCGCTTCAATCCACTACTGTTTGTGGGACACTGCTGTGCGCAATTGACTGCTGCGTTGCGCCCACAAAATACAGTCAAATCGCTTAACAGTATATTCTGTGAAGTGCTTTGAGACGTCTCGAAGATACGAAGAGCGCTATATCAAATGCTCCCTCCGCTCGGCAGACTCTGGCCTGCTCCACGTCCCCTGCCCGTCCCACCATCAGCAGTCCCCAACTGTGCAGCACTCAGAGACCCTTTTGTGTGTGAAGGGTACAGTATAAATGCTAATTGGTGTTGAGAAACACACACTAAGATAACTGCACTGAGACACACACAGCTTCTATTTCCTTGTTACGACCACCTTGTTGTTATTCTTACCGCTCCCCCTCCCACCACCCAAAAGCTTTACTCACCAGTAATAATAACTATTATTTATTTTTCTAGTGTAGACTTACAGTTGGATTCTCAAATTGGGGTCCTGTAGTGACTCCTGTAGTGGTTAGAGCACTCGAATCGCAAGTGAAAGGACCCGGGTTCGATTCCCAGGCAGGACAAAATGTTAGGCAAGTTTCCTTACTCCACACTCCTGTTTACTTAGCAGTAAGTAGGAACCTGTTTGTTAGTCGATTGGCGGATCGCTTTCTGGGGGTAATAATCCCTCCAAAATAAATTATTATTATTTACGGGTTGTTTTGTGCACAAATGGCTGCTGCCTTTATCTACAAATGCACAGTCACTGCGCTTATAGTAATTAGCTTTGAGACATTTCAAAGTTTAAAAAAGATTCTTGCATTTGTTTTGGTGTCTTTCAAAGAGGAGGATATCTTAAAGCACTTCACACGAAGTAACTGCATCTTTTGTGGGCGAACACTACAGTCAATTTGCACACAGCAAAGTCGGCTCACAAGTAGCCATGAAGCGAATGAACAATTTTATTTGGAGGATTGTTGGCCAGGACACCGGGTGAAAGAAACTCTCGTCTCTTTTCTTGAATATCTCCATGGAATCTTTAATGTCCACCTGAACAGGAGCTCGGTTTAATGTTTCGTCTGATG